ATTGAATTTATTTAATACACGAGTTTCACAATTTGAGTTGAATTACTGAAATAAATGAACTTTTCCACGACATTCTAATTTATTGAGATACACCTGTATAATATTTAATTAATTTAGGGAAATTAACAAGTGTCTTAGCCCTCAAGGGACTATTTGGCCAACCAGCTTATTCCTGCTTGAAAAGCAAAATGTTACTGATAGTGTAAAAAACATCAACTTTGAAGCACATGCATTACTCAACATTACTTACTAACTTCCAGCAACACTACATTCAATTAAGGTAAAATAGTAAAAAATAGTTCATTTAAATGGAACCGGAATCGGAAAATTTCTAACGATACCCAACCCTACTTGTGACTCACATTCCTACGCTCAATATTGCATGTGCTAAAGTTTGAGCTGTAACATCCAGTTTATAAAACCTTACAAATGTATGCAGTGAGCGACGAGTTGGTCCTTCGCAAATATCCTGCAACATGACTCCTTTAAATAGAGCCCATGAAGTTGACATTCCCTTTGTTGAGTGTGCACGTATACCAGGTGGGGACACAAGACCCTTACTGGTATTTGCCAACAAAATCGCCTCCACTATCCAGTGCGATAAACCCTGCTTAGCAATCAGCTTGCCCATATGAGGTTTCATCCAAGATACGAATAGCTGATCACTCTCCCTGAACCCTCTGGTTCTTTCTGTATAAATGCATAAAACACGCACTGGGCACAATACATTTAACTTTTGCTGTTCTGATGAAGCAAAAGGTGGTGGATAGAAGGCGCTTAACTCAAGAGTAATGATAGCATTAACTATTTTGGGCATGAATGCAGGATTAGGTTTCAGAACTACCCCTGCATCCCCAGACATGAACTGCAAACACGCTGAATGCACAAAGCGCGTGAATCTCGCCAAAGCTAACAGCAGTGCCGTCTTAAATGATAATATTTTGAAATCAACCTTGTCCAGCGGCTCAAATGGGGACATGGAAAGAGCATCAAGCACCAATCCCAAATCCCATGAAGGGGAAAGCGGTTTTGAAACTGGCAAAGCTCGGCGCGTGCCCTTCCTGAACCTGCATACCAAAGGATGCTGCCCCACAGTTTTGTTATCAAAACCAATGTGAGAAGCAGATATAGCAGCCAGAAACACTTTTATGGTTGAAAACGCTTTCCCTTGGTCTATCAAATCCTGAAGAAATGATAGAACAACTGCCACTGAACACTGAAAGGGAATCTCGTGTTTAGTTGCGCACCAGTGCTCAAACACGACCCATTTGCATTCATAAAGAGACCTAGTCGATGAAGCTCTAGGATTTTGTATGGTTCTAATAACGCTGTCAGACAGACCGGTTGTATTTAAATTGAACCACTCACAGGCCAGGCCCATAGTGCCAGGCGTTCTGGAGGAGGATGAAAAATCTCCCCCTCTGTTTGTGACAAAAGATCTCTGCACAGCAGGAGAGACCACGGGTCTTTGTACAGCATATGTATGATTTCCGCTAGCCAATATTTCCCTGGCCACCTAGCTATTAACATCAATTTCAGTCCCTCCTCCCTCACTCTGTAAAGTGTTGGGGATATTAACGCTATTGGTGGGAACGCGTAAAGGAGAGTGCGAGGCCATTCGTGTGCCAGCGCATCTATCCCCAGAGGCGCGATCTGATCGTTCAGGGAGAAAAACAGAGGACACTGAGCATTGTCGTGGGACGCGAAGAGATCCACTAGCGCTCTGCCGTATATGCTCCTAATCTGTTCGACCACTTCCCTGTTCAATTTCCACTCCACATAGAGGGGATTGCCCCCGGACAGCAGAGCCACACCCTGGTTCATGACACCCTGTACATGCGTTGCTCTCAGGGATAAAAGATTGGCATTGCTCCATAAAATCTGTTTGCGTGCTAACGTGTACAAAGGAAGTGGTCTGAGACCTCCCTGTCGGTTTATGTAAGCCACAATTGTAGTGTTGTCCGTTCTAACGAGAACATGATGCCCTTTCAGAAAACGAAGAAAATGCTTCAGCATTAGAAAAACGGCTAGCATGTCCAAATAGTTTGTGAAGATTGGTCCGATGTTGACCCCATCTTCCATTCACTATCCTGCCTTCGTGAATGCCCCCCCAACCAGACAACAACGCGTCCGTTCTTATGACTTGTCTGCCTCGAACCAAGCCCATAGGTACCCCTTGAACCAGAAAGGTCGGGTGTCTCTACTGGCGCAGTGCCAAGACTGCCTCGGACGTCACTCTCACTCTTCTCCGGGAGTGATGTAATGGGTCCAGCCCCTGAGACGCTAACCAGCATTGAAACGCTCATAAACAGCCCTGATAGTTATTCCCTTAGGCAGACTTGAGGCCATCAGTCCTAATAGTCTGAGGTATGTGCAAAAGGAAACACTGTTTCCCCTCTGAACACGGTGACATTCAGAGCGCGACTGTCTGAAGAAGTTAAAAATTAACTTGTTGGATGACCGACTTTCAGTGACAGCCCCAGATGTTATAGATAGTGTGGCAATTAAAACACTCTTTTCGATGTTTAATTTTAAACCCAGTTTCTGTATATGTTCT